AATTACCCTTCAACAGATGCGGAATGCTATATAGGAATGGCTATTTGCATCAGAAATCACTTTAAAGTGCTTCATCTTCAGTGTACGTTTGAGTCCGATTTAGTGATACTTTATTCCACCTAATCAGACCTAAATTAAAGTAGACGATACATGAAATCCTATAGTATTCGATAACAGAACGAAGCAACAATCATTCAGAATTTTCACAAAATCAGTTAATTTGTAGATTTTCCAATATGGTATATATTTTCCCTCAGTGCTTAATTGAAACATTTTTCGGTATAGACTTTATTGATTTTGTTAACATTTTGGGCTATTATCGGTATTGCAGTAATACTTCTACTGATCATATCAGACAGAACAAGGAAACGATTCCCTGTGAAATGCTTGTTGACGATGTGCATGTTTGAAGTCAGTGTATGTTTTCATTCATCTGTGTTAGGTAACCACTATCTGAAACTATGAATAACTTTGTTCGTTGTTGCTTCTTATGAATTGAATCCTAAGTTATCGGAATATCTCTTAAAATACTAAATCATAACGCGATTTCCTGCTTTCGTGTTGCGATGAAAGTAGTTGTGAAGCTCCACATTGTGTGTATATCGATAGGTGCGACTCTGAGAAGTGAACTGAAATTCAACTCCCTATGGATGGTGACAGGCTATGCTGTCTTATCAGATGCAATCACCGCTGCTGCACTTAGGGTTTCCTCTCAACCTAAGGGATAGAACATGAAATGAAATGTTTCTATTTCAAGTGGCAAAACACTCATCATCTTATCTGTTCGGAGGATTACGTGACTTAAACACATGCAGAGTGATTTCTAAAACATTTTTTAGCGACGTATAGATCTTGCATTATAAAGAAATGCATTTCTGTAATATTCCAGTCGCATAATGTTTTGATTGATTAAATATATTAATCATGCAGTTCCTATGATGTAGCATGACTGAACACTGGTGACTCTCTCAGCGGGTACAACTATTTCAGTAATATCAGTAAGTCTTCATTATAATGAAGTACGTTTCGCTATTTACTAAAGTTACCTGCTTGAATTCATTCTGTCAGTGATAAGACACACATAGTCACTTAGTGTTTTTTATTCGGAGATGGACCTGTACAGCAATTTCCATCAGTCGACTGTATGACGTTGTCCATCATATTTTAACCTGCAGTTTTTATTTTAATTTTATTCTTATTCCCTCAGACTCCGAGTGGAATGTACGTCTTCAGTGAAACAACACAATCTAACCCAGTTCTCTTCAGTCTTCTAAAGATAACTCGTCGATCTCACACAGGCTTTAATTTGTCACTCGCATTATCTCTTTCATCATGTCTTCAAGCACACGCCACGATTGTCACTTCCGATTCAGACTTCAAATTGAGGGAATCTCATGTGCATAATGTCATTCAGTGGTCTCCACTTCGTGGCATATGTCCAGTGCATCTATTTCCCTTAATGCATATTTGATGGACGGTAGTAATTTTTCTGCTTTTCTGCTTACCAGGCTTCCTAAATACTTATGCTGTCTGGATACATATTCTTCGCTATTAGATGACTGTTTTAAGACGCGTTTTGAAAACAACACGATCAAATCGATGATCAGTCAGTTTCACCTCTACAAAAGACACGTGGATGATGCTTTTATAAGTTATGATCTCCTCAGCACATTCAACCAGGCACATGAAGCATACTTGGAGTTTCCATTCATGGATGCATTATTCACTGAAAACAAGACACCTCGATTTAGAGACCAAAGTAGAGGAAACGAAAATGGACTGGACAATTTACTAAATTCCAGAGGTTAGTCGTACCGGTCAGAAGGTAAAACTAAAATAAGTAGCTCAAACATTCAACAAGTCTGTCTGGAAGTTATGATAGACACTGATTTGAAATCACTAAGCGACACGTTAACGGAAACAAAATATCCCATCTCTGAAACTTGCAACTGTTCCTAGAACACTCCTTTCATGAACCTAGAATTCAAAGTAGGCACTGAGTCTAACATTTTCAGAGACCGTCTTTCCAAAATCTCTGAAGAGTAGACTTTAGTCACTTCCTTTGCGAATTGTATTCTCCATCAGGCAGTTAATCCAGTCAGGTGTCATATATATGATATCGCTTTCGTTCAGCTCTATTTGTATTCATCAGTTTACTTTCCACATAACAGGCAAGTATATGTCGGTCATTCACAACGTCAAATCCAATAACGCACTCTGACAAAATTTCAAGATAGGCTTGTCAGAGGAGTAAATAAGAATACTGATATTTCTATCATCAGACAACTTGTCAACCTTGGATATGGTACAAGCCTGCATCACTGCTTAACAGTGCTAGAAAGAACTCCTCAGTAACGTAGTAGTAAACTTTGTCCGTGGAGTAAATGTATCTGATATTTTCACATAGTGCTATATACCATTATTTACTGATGACTTTTAGAGCACAATTTGTCATTCATAATCATATGAAGGTACTCGCACAACTTCAAAATTTCATTCACTTACATGACTGAAAAAATGATTCGGTGAATGACTGGTTACAAAGAAGTCAATATGATTTGCAAAAGAAATGGGGGAAATAAATGGCAGGAAGTAAAAGCACAGACGATAGTTGGAAGCAATCGGCAGGAAGCCTTGGTTCTAGGTTTCGTGCTAGTTGCCACTCGTCAGCAAGCATATTGGTAATCGTGAATCCAAGAAGATGTGAAATAAGATGAGTTGTGTCAGTGAAACTAAATAAATAACATGTTCGAATGTGATAACGTAGACTGAGTTAGAACAAAACAAAGTGGAAAATTATTTCTTATTATTATTGGTGGTAATATTCTCCGTACCTCTGGTTTTGGTTCTGAGTCACTTCGATTGCATTTGTTTGGCGCAGACTTGATGAACAGAAATCAAACAGGAATCAATGTCTCTCTGCATCCACCTGCATTACCTTTCAGAATAGTAACACAGTCACACCCCATTGGTAGGAAATTCCAATTGCAAAGTTATATTCTCAGTTGTTAATCTCCGTGGGGTTAGTCATTATCAATACTTATCTAGATTCCTATTTATCGGTAGGCTAACGACAACAGATGTATTAATGTTATCAATGTAAGTGGCAATATAGTCTCTGGAAGACGTTTTGTGGATTGTAACTCTTTGTCTAATTGAGTCAATAGGCCGCCTAAGCTACTTATTTTCTCCCTCAGTGGTTTTGCCATTTTATATATCAACTTAATTCCGGCTTTTGTGGAGAATAATACATTGTCCTATTTGGTGATTAGAGCACTTAGAAATACACAGCTTTTCCCACCTAAATGGTAATCTCACACAAAGTTTTGATATCCAATGCCTGAATGATAAGGATGTGGATAACTTGAATTCATTCTTATTTCTGTTGTCATTGCTTCTTTCCCCTCTACTTTTCCTTTTCTCGTGAGCATTTATAATCTTTTGTGTAAATATTGTGGGATACTTACTGAACATCGACGCTTCTTCTACCGGTTTCATTTTATTGTCTAAGAGTGCTGATGTGCTATTGAGTGTTACTCCTGAGCATGTTAGATACACTTAACTGAGTCTGCTTTCATAGATAACGGATGAGATGAATTAAACCCCATATATCGATCAGAATGCGTTGGCTTTTTACAAACCTTAGTGCACCGTTCAATTTTATAGATTTCTGATTTTTTCATATACACCTAATAGTCGAAATTCGCCCACTATGATGTAAAGTTATCATCATTTTTCTGGCTAATCAAGCTAACTACTTACAGTTTGTTATAGTAAATGTAATCATCAACATTCTCTCCATGATTTGACCCATTTATACGTCCTTCATGGACCGAGAAATCAACTTTGTCAGTTCAGATTTAAATCTATTCACACTAGAATAAAGCCAGAGGCAGATGAACGTGAAAAGAAAATTGCCCGCACTGACGTCTAATTGCTACAACTAACACAGATGATATTCGAAGTAAGCCGCCATCTCATTGATTTGCGTTCCTACCTGAACTTAGGGCTGCAAGCTTCAACAATGAAGTTTCATCAGTCGTCGTTCCATTATTTCGGAGTGGATTGCCAGCTTCAAGGCGAACCTTCCTTAGTCACCGGGCCTGATCCAAGGTAAGTGAGAATGAGGGGTTCGTCGGCTGGCGACAATGCTGCCAGTGAACTGCCGACACAACAACCATTATCGGTTCTATGGTACTTCTGCTTTACTGATTCTAGTGAATGTTATTTGTCAAAGATCAAATCGCTCGAACTTTATTTATACAGTGGTTACACTCACATTATATATCCATCGAGATAAATTGTCAGTCTGAGGATCGCATCTGCATTCTCACGAATTTGAAAAGATGCTCAAGTCAATCATTTATCTGAGACGATATAAGCTAATAAGTAGTAGAATTCACCAAATGGTTTTCACTGTCCCATTCAACATTGAGTGAAGGCATCACAAAATATCCGTATTATTGTATCAAATACTACAAAGTATACCAAACGCAGATGACTTTCATCCCTCAACGTTTTAAAATTTGTGTACATCAAAATTTGTGTGTAAGTATCTACAGATTTACCGCATGTCTTGAGTGGGTGATAACTTGTAAAATTACTTTGTGATCAGTGACGTTAATTCTCAGTGACATATCCTATCTATGCTCAGCAGTTCCAATAAAGAAATGAATATAAACCACTTTGAGACAATACTCATGGAATTTTGAAATCTATCGAATATCGAAGTTACTTAGTATTCAAAGTAAGTAGGATTTGTCAATCTATCGACTGCATTATCGTTTACAAATTCGCTCGTTACGCTTTCGTATATCTTCTCACACATGGACCTGGCTATTCCTGTGTGGTTGACGTTTGTCAGTGTGAAGATATGATATTTAACTTTATTCAGATGATCTATTATTTATGATAATATTTCACAACAACAATTTTGAAAACAACAGTAATACTTTAGAATCATTAGATTTTTACTAGAAATTCTGTATAATTGTTTTGACTACAAATTTCATGGTGAACAAAAGTGTTTCATGTTGGTTATAAGTTTCACACTTTTGCAATGGAATGCTTCTGTTATGAGAAGCACCCAGTCGGTTCAAGTCCCGGCATATTTCGCGTTTTCGTTGGACACTTGAGTCCAATGCTGAGTGTGATCAGAAATATGAGAAGAACGGCATGTGCAGCAATTGAAGCAAAACAGTAATCTCGACCAAATTCTCTGAATTGAATCTGGCCAAGTGTTATCTGACCGAAAAATAAGGCAACCTAATCAGCATATACGAAAAAGACGGTGTAGGTGAGTTGTAGATTAACACAGGAGATCGGCTTATTTATTCAATGAAATAAAATATGCAGCTCAAATGGATTTCACTCCTCATTTATGTTGGTGACTAAAGATCACAAGAAATGTACCATAAACCGATGAAAGTTTTAACAGTCTGCAACACCATTATCAGTATTATTTCATATTCCCTTTGACGTATGCCACATAAGGAGATGGAAATGATAAACTCCGTTTGAATTCGTGTCATGGACGTTTGTGCATTGTCATCCTTATATAAATATGTGGAATTGTGTATGGTTCATTAAGTAATGATCAAATCTACCGGCTTTATTTTGAGTGCATTTACCATAATCTCTTGATATGATATAGCATGCAATGACTGAACAAATTGTACGATTTCATTTGTTTCTATGCATGAGATAGCTGTTCGATTCTGACAAACCAACACGCGCAAACATCATTCATTATTAAAACAGGTGGAACATATAGGAATTCATCACTTTCACTGATGTGGGCAGCATCGTTTCAAGTACAGGCTGTATAGATCGAGATGTCAAAACAAGCCAGGATCGGAAAAGCCCAGTGGACCTGCTATATTGGGAAATCATTGCAGCTTGGAGAATAAGGGACACTAATCTGATTGTCAGTAATAATGTAAAGTAAATCACTGCTAAAACGAAAATGTTTGAGAGACTTGGTGCGCCTTACACGAAAAGCCCTTCTAACTAGCTCCAGATATTAATCAAGAGCTGCCTCTAGCGTGTGTTGAAGATCAGATGACTGATATAAAGGTATCAAGAACAAGGGACTCCGTAATTAACCAACCAGGAAGCTGTCGATCAATCAAAATTTCGTATGAAATTGAAATGGATTGAACATATGCTCCGCTGAGGAAATCTCTGAAATATATGTAGTGTCAGACCGTCTTCCATAACAAACGGAAAAAGGAGGAGTCCCTCGTTCGACCTTACTCCGAGGGTGAAATGGAACAAACCCTATAAGGAGGGCACGGAAATATATTGGAAATGTTCCAACTTACTGAAATGTTCTCTGAAGAACAGGCTGAAATATAAAGGTGTGTTGCTGAAGCATTATATTTCATTCGGAACTCAGACATATATAAAACATGAATAACTGCAGTTTGAAATGTGACAGATTTATTCTCGTGCCTTTCACAGACAATGATATGCAGTCACGTGCACGCGATGCTTGTACAAATCAACCTCGGAATAGGACACAGACGATAATTCACATCATTGCTTCGTTGAAACAAATTGAAGAAGGACAATATAAATGCATAACGAAATGCATCTCATTGTAATGGAAACTTACTGGTATTACTAGAATAGTTGTTCCTACTGCAAGAATTAGCAATGACCATTTAGCCTACATCATACAAAAAAAATGAAAAGTACATTATGTTAATAAATGTTATATGCAGTGGGAACATTTCACACATACATTTTTACGCAAAGTGGAATATTTAGTTCACTGGAAAATAATTTAATTCCCATAAATGAGGGTATGGAAGAAATTATGAGCATTTTTACACCTAGATTGTAAATACTTCATTTCATGCTCTAACAATCATGAAAATAAAAATATTTCCTTCAAAAATTTAATGCAATTAGTTCCCTTTATGAATTTCGACAACAAAATAAGAAGACGTAGTTTTTCTGAAACGTGTAATGTATTGGCGCAACACATTTCGGACATTCTGATCACTGCTTCTTTGTACTAAAAATGTTAAGTTTACATTCGAGGGCGAGCAATACCGCCAGATCAATGGTGTTGCTATGGGAAGCCCCCTAGATCCATTGTTATCTGATATATATATATATGTCGCATGTTGAGAATCTAGTGAAGAAAGAAATTGGAAAAGTTTATTTCTATAAAAGATATGTAGATGACATAACTGTCATTTGTGATCAACCGATGGACGCCATAGAAATCCTAAACCAGATCAACAGAGCATAAAATAGTATATCGCTAACTTGTGTTAAAGGGAATAATAGATGTCTGCCACTTTTAGATGTACTCATAACTCGCCGAGGAGATGGGTCAGTAAGACGATCTGTCTACAGAAAGTTAACATGGACTGGACAGTATCTAAATTACTATAGTTTCTGTACACTACAGTATAAAAAGGCGTTGGTTAAATGTTTGTTCAAGCGCGTTCACCATATATGTACCGCTGGTACAATTGAAGACGAAAGACAACACATCACTGAATTGTTATTATTAAATAACAATTACCCACTGAGATTTGTTAAACGTTACGGAAGTGTCAACCATATAGCTTTACCAATCCAATCAGTTCCCAAAAAAATGTTTACATATCCTTGCCGTTCAGAGGTGATCAACAAAGTCTAGTCACTAGACAAAGACTAAGGGCAACAACTAATAGAACTTATTATGCAGGTAAACTTATCTTCATAGAGAAAACGAGAACTATGCTGTCCTGTAAACCCTCACATTATCCGTACGATAGTGTCACATCCCACTGTGTTTATCAATTTACATGTATGTGTGGAGACACGTACATAGGGAGGACCCATCGGTCTCTGCATGTTAGGGCTACAGAACACATTCCAAAGTGACTGCGACAACAAATGAAATCCACAGATACAAATGACCTCGGAATTAGATGTCCAACATCATCTATAGTGAAGCATGTTATAGAGATGGGTCATAAGGTTGATTTTAACAATGCCTTTAAGCCGATATATAAGACAAGGTTGGGTCACATACTTAAATTCATTGAAGCCTTAGCTATTAAGAGACTTAAACCTTTCTTATGCGTCCAAAAGGTATTTGTTATCACCTTAAACCTGTCTTGGTAATCCAATTTAGAACCAAGGGCCAATTTACTTCATAATATTTTCAAACCCCTTCTTTGCCTTGTTTTCCCTCTCTTTATCTTTCTTACCCACACATTTCGCGTCTCCCTACCCACCATTTGTGACCTTGACCTGTACACAATCTGACCTGTATTGTAATTATCGATGCTTTTTTGCCTTCTATAAATACTGTGTATGACGAGTACGTGTGTGATCAGAATGTCGGAAATGTATTGCGCCAAATCAATACACGTTTCAGATAAAATACGTCTCCTTATTGTGCTGTCAAAAAACACTACCAAAACTCACTCACGTGGTCGTTCCAGTGGAAAACTACAATCGTGACAGCACCCACTGCAAGAGAGAAGACAATGTAGCCTATCAACATTCCCAGAGAGCCCACCCTGAGTTCACTTCGCACGCTAGCACCTATCGATATACACATGATGTAGAGGACCACAGCCAACGCCATTACACCAAGTACCCATCTGTAATCCTTTCCGATCATCATTGCTTCTGTCAGCACGGACAAGCATGCAGCCTACAAATAGTAGAAAATCAATTGTGAAAATTTTGCATTAAGTAATGACTATTCCATCATTCTCGTTATCATTATTCTCTAGTGTTACAAATGTAAACCAATTGTGAGCTGTGTTCAACAAGATTGTTGCGTCAATTATGCGATATGTAGTAATATTTTGGCGGGCTAAACTGCGATTTTGACAGAGTTCAGTCTTATTCGTCACTGCCAATTATTACTACTCATATCAGGAAGTACGTAATTTATTAGATAACCGCGCCTGAAATACCACATAATTCTAATTTATGACGAACTTATACTTAACAGTCGAACACCAAATCGACTATCAGTGCATTACAGATGTAAAACGACTTTCTGAATATTTCATCAAGAGTATTAGGTTTATTGGCGCCTTCTGAGGAATCCTTCAGTAGTTGTGAATTAGACTAATGCATTCATGATTACTGATGATTCCAATGTCCAATTGGTATCCAATGCATGGAGAAATTACATTGGATTTGTGATATTTAGGCATGTACTCTGTTATCGCATACTTCAATTCTCAATACATCGAAGAAACGCACTACACAATGCAGTGTTTCACACAATGACACCCTAGCGACATTTTCAATGAAATATAAGCATGAACAATGAATACATCAAATTCATACGTGCAGCATCGTCAAGAAGAAATTCGCGGGGAATCGTCTCCTTATTCTCTCGAATTTCATCAGCAAAAATATCAACGCAATTTCAAGAATCGCCCTGAAATGTGAAGGAAATAAATGATGTGTCTATGGGGAATTGTAAAAATTATGCGTCAATGTAAATTGTGAAGTTCTCTTGAAAATTCGTGAAGTAAATTTCTATCTGTGAATTATGAACGATCCTGCTGCCTGATACTACAGTTATTCCAATATCCTCCTAATTCAACGCTTCTGTCATTGTATTCAGATAATGTGAAATACAGGAATGTGAAATCTGACACACACGTTCAGTCTACTAATCAGTAAATTTGCAGTACCAGAGATTTGCTCCTATGGAGCAAACTTAATCTGTTTACCTGGAGCATCCAGTACAATACGCCGCGGTATATCAGTTGACGCTAAAATGTCCAAATAATGAAAATAAAATAACTATCGCCATTCCTTTCACAAATGAGCTCGCAGCGAATTCTTCACCTCCTTTCGCTAGGTGTAGCTCAGAAACATTTCAAAATCTGATAATTTGAGCGAAGTATATCTGACAGTTGATAATAGATGTGGTACCACTCACACTCTTGTAGATGGCTCGCATTCACACACTGACATTTTCGTTCTTCACCACAGATTGTACCTCAAACTTTTCACATTAACTCTCTTCACGTTCTTGCAGTATGCTACAACATACGACACTGTGTCACACAACAATTGTGGTTCCAGCCTTCCAAGTTATCGTGAGATCCAATATATCCTCGACTTCACTGAATCCTGTGAATATGCAGTAGTTAAAGCGACAGTGTGCGTGCTTGCAATGCATATCGTTTTCTGTGGAGAAAACGCTGACACAATCCACTTCAGTATTTCCTGACAGTCAAAAATGATATTCCACTCCCATGTGCTACGCTAGAACACTTATCGCGTTACCATGGTTAATCAAGTGTGATTATGTGGTAAGCTGGAAACTTCAAAATGACTCCGATAGTATGGTATATACAATACCTAATCTAATCAAATATAGCTAATGTATAACAGATATTAACATTAAACAAAATTATTTAAACTCAGTTTCATTGGTTGTACAGTGAACACACAGGACGATGTATGTGACGGCAATCACTATATCGAATTGTTTGTCAATAGGTCTGAATGAAAATTAGTTAAGTTATTCGATATATGTCGACATACATGAAGGCGAAATCGGGTGTTATCCCCAGTGTGATAAAGCACATCACAACAAGAAACACGATAACCTACAATCCGTAAATACCGTCATTAAATGGAGGGTAGACCTACTCTTCTCGGGTATTTGTCCAACATTTCAGTTTCACGATTCACCAATACTGAATCAGCTGTGGCTTTCTTCTCACAAATCGACTTGATAATTCCGCTAAAATGCATCAATTGTATCAAGAATGTCAAGTGGAATAATTGAAATTAGGATATCATTAATATATGCTCTGTGGGGAACATTGGGCTTTAACAACCACTCAGATTCGAGCATTATGTGAAAATTCTAGATCCAGTGCATTATTTTGTCTTCATCAAAAGAAGACACATCATCTGACTGGTAAACGAAAAGCTTTCACAAGCCGGAATCATTCCGTCTCGCACATCGCATCGAAAAATGAGCTTCGTTTCAATTTTTATTGTTCTCTGAAGTTTTATGCAGTGAATTGGTTATGCTCCGCGATCATGCAGAGGCCAAAAACCAAAACTCTCTACTATTTCAGAGCTAATGGCAAACCAACAACATAGGAAATGCGCCTGAGAACAACCAAAAGCGTAATGTCCACAGTCAAGCCTCAAAATGAATTCGATGGCTTAGATGGACAGGAATCCAATAGTTCCTCCACTATGATCACCAAATGGGTGTTATATACAGAACGGTTGACAGACCAACATAACTCCAAACATACACAAGAAAGTTGGTCTTTCCTAAAGCGTCACAATTGAGAGAATCAGTGAAAGGTGTACTTCAATATAGAAGTTGTGATTCTATATATATATGCCAGTTGTAGAAACTGTGTGGAACGACTTACAACCGAGACAAAAATACGTGACACTGAGTGAAATAGGCAATTTCACACTGTGTATTCACTGAAAATTATCCACTGACAGTATCTTTAAACAGGTATATCCTAATTCGAGATTAACCAGGATGAAATCTCGAAAGTATAATGCGAAATTTTCATCTGACACAGAACTCAGAATAACTCATGAAGAACACAGTAATCCATAAATAACAATCCAATGATCACTTTACCTGATTTCATCTGTGTGGTGTTATCAGGTGGTCGATGATTTCGATGTATTTATAACACAAGTATGTCCTCCTTCCTGAAAATCAATATGAACAAAACAATGCACACAATAGTTATTTTGTGTTTATCGAAGAAAGGTCAGTGTGAGTGAACTTTGATCGTCACTTGACAGACTGTGATTGGTTATAGAACGGATAGGGAGGCAAGTAATGTGTAACGCCTGAGACACAATCAGTAGTTTTCGTGTTTACAATCCAATGATTCTCTTCATATCAGTACAGGCTAGACATATTGCTATACTTTACCTCCATGGATCTCACTAGACATGCCTAATTAACCAATATATGAAATCGAATGTCATTCGGTGAATTTCAAACATCATACTAAGATTCTCTGACTATGAGCAATGGTTTCCGACATCGGTGCATCAAGGTAGAATATTGCTTCGTTAGTTGTGCTCTCATACACTTTCGCCTTGTCCACAGGGTTCCCAGTATCATTTATATCCAATGAAACATGATGAGAGATGTTCAGTGGCGCGTCAGCTAGGCTATCCAGTGGCAAGCTCAAAATAACTGCCTCTGCTACTGACAGAATTATTGTCATTATCATTTGGAATATTTGAAAAAATTTATCTGGACTAAAATATAAACTCACAGTTTGAAATCAACGTCTGTATATATGAAACGATCCTCCATTCAGAAGTGGAGAATAAATGTGGAGTGTTCAAGCAGAAATTTGATCACCTTAGAATATTCCACTTTCACAAATAAGTGATTTACAATCACTGACCTCAATCAGAAGTATATACACACAGAGAGATATTTCTGCAGATATTGGAAATCACATCAAAAGATTCACTGAGACGGTTAAATTAAAGTATTCGTTTATTGTTGTGTAAAAATTCACAATTAACTTCAGTTGGTTGGAGTGTGGTAATTTTTGAACTCTCTTCGTTGAAATCGATCAAAGTGTCGTGGGCACATTCCTTTGTGTGCAAATGATCATTTCCTGTAAATATCTTGATCAGTTGAAAGCATTTCAATAGCCTAATATTCCATTGATTGGTCCGTGGACCTTCGTACTCGTGCTCACTCAAATCGACTAAATGGTCGAATAAGCAGTTAGTAACATCTGTGACTGCAGCACTGAGTGGAGTCTGTTCTAATGTAGGCGTGGACGTCAACTACAGCGAAGTTGAAGATTTACACTGTTGACTATAGTGCTAACACCCACAAAACATAAGTGCACGGCATCTTTTCGATTGTCTTCGAATATCTGACAATATCCAATGAGTGCAAATTCCTCAAAATTATGAATATGAGGTGTCTGGAACATTAGAGTAAACTAGTCTGACCTGTAATCAAACCAAAATGTTAATCCCCTCAAAAAACATTCACAGGATTTATGCTATATTTTTTTCATCATATGAAATCTACCCGCATGTAATGACAGTGTACGTAAATACATTGGCATCTGAGTGGAATTCGCCTAGTCTAGAAATATAAAGGTAGTCAATTTAAGTGATTCAGCGAAGAGACTCTTTTCAACGAATTTATCATCAAGCTGTACAATCGTAAATATGGTTTTTTAAGACTTTATATCCAGTGAGGGAATTGAATCATAGGTTTGAATGCATAGCATAATAATAATATGAAATGCAATTAAAACTAAAATGTTTGTGATTATACTCATGGTTAAATGCGAAACGGCAAAGCAAATTAATGTCATATATAGAACAGGCATGAATGCATAAAATAATAATAGTAGTATGAAATGCAATTATGATCTCACACCACTGTCAGACCAGGATTTCCAATGCTTCAAATCGACCATCACTGACTCTTGCAATCAATACCTTAATGCTAGATCAAAAATGCAAAGTCTTCTGACTAAACAGCACGAAGCAGAACTTAAACATTCTCTTCGAATTTAGGCGTGGACGTCGTCTAAGACGAAGTTGAATACACAGAGTGATGAATACAGTGCTAACACCCAGAAAACATAGGCACATGACTTCTTTTCGATTGTCTCCGAATAACTGACAGTACCTAATGAGTGCACAGTCCTCAAAAACATATATATATATATGAGAGAATATTACAGTAGACTAGTATGACCTGTTATCCAGAGGAAAAGCAGGCACCACGATCAAGATCTCAATCACCTCAGAATATATATCTATAACTGAGTGGAATTCGCCTGGTTCAGAAATATATAGATATCCAGTGACTACCAGACATGTATGATATATAAACAGATTTCTCAATAAATTGGAGAACCTTGAAAAGGTTGATTTCACAACATGCAAATAAAGTGGTTTAAATATACAGTTATCATCGAGTATTCATCTAAACGTATAATTTCTCCTTTATCCCACCGTATTGCGGGCGGATTGAATTGAAGTCTCAGAAGCCTTGTTTTGTTGATGTTGTTGTTGTTTTGGTTGTTGATTTTTAATAATTGGTATTTCCACCATCACGCCAAACCGTTCACATCTGACGCCGTCTCTATCAGATGGCAGATACAGCAAATGAATAGTTTGTGAGCGTCCTATCTTCGAAACCACTAATGCGCGTTTGTGAGTGCAGACATCAGTAGCGTGTAGTTGGTTGTGAAAGACAAGTTAATTAGTCCACCGCCTAACCAACCACACTACACTTGTCCAGAAAACTCCATCATCTTTCGGCTGCAGCGTTAACTTTGCTAGGAGTCACCGAATAAACTGTAAATACTGGGGTTTCATAAGTGATAAAATGTAAGTGTTGGTGAATGTATGAATCACTGACTGGCGTCCATGTGAATATTAACAAGAACCTTCGGAAGAAAATTGTCGATGGATGACGCCACATCGTTTACCATATTTTGCATGTCTGTATTCATTGTTATCAACTATAATTTGAAACTTATCACCTATCTCCACCCACCTGATCTCTCTATCAGTTCATCAAAACATGAGTATGTTGTGGGATTTAAGTACGGAATGGCCTTGAGGACATGTCTAGCAGTGCATAATTGGAGAATCCAGGAGATATGTAGGTGTCTGCAGTGTGCTGGTGTACTATAATCTCAGTATGCCTCAGTTTCTTGATTGAATCCGAACGCACTTTTAACGGGACCCGTTTACATCCAGCTGATAACAAGCGAGTTGAAAGAGATCGTCATTGCAAATCCGTAGAGCACTTTCGTAAATATATATAATCAAGGAACATTCAGTCAGAGAATGCACACAGGTTAAAGGAGGCAAATATAAGTTTAACACTTAACGTTGATTGGATTAGGTTTTGCTGACAAGTGTTTCGATTGCAAGTTATACACCACAATTCCGATAGCGTTTTTCTAGGTATATTTCTGTGTCTTATATTAAAGATATTTCCCTTGAGTTAAATGTTAAAATGCTCTTCGTTATAAGATTTGTAGATGATATCACTTTGATGTGTGATGATCATAGAGACGCAAGTCGTTCAGTCGATCGACCTAATTTTGTTCAGAATCATATAAGTCCCACATGTGAGAAAGAAAGTCTCAACCAGCCTGCATTTTTATACACACCTCTAAGTCAAAGAGATGATGGTTGAATAAGATGGTCAGTTTACAGAAAGCCAACTTGAACAGGGCATTGCTTTAATTTCACATCTTTTGTCTATCACAGTATAGGAGACGCTCGAAAAAAATGCTTATTTAAGAGGACTCACGGTATTTTCTCGGTTGATTTTACAAAAAAGGTTAATGAAATATTGATGGATACAGTTGTTGAAAGCAGACATCCTTTAAAATTTTTAAACAGGCGTTGAAGTCAATTAGTTTTTGAAAGTACAATCTATGCAGCCTTTAATAGAAGTATTTTCATCGAATTGCCGTGAAACGGTGAAATAAACAGAAGGAATTTGAGAGGAAGGTTAAATTAGGTCATCCGTAGGACCTATCATGCAGCATGACTTGTAATTGTCGAAAAGGTCAAAAATATTCTCCACTGCTAACCCCAAAATGCACAAGCGATTATTTTACATCCAACACTGAGATTATAGTACACCAGCACACTGCAGACACCTACATATCTCCTGGATTCTCCAATTATGCACTGCTAGACATGTCCTCAAGGCCATTCCGTACTTAAATCCCACAACATACTCATGTTTTGATGAACTGATAGAGAGATCAGGTGGGTGGAGACAGGTGATAAGTTTCAAATTATAGTTGATAACAATGAATACAGACATGCAAAATATGGTAAACGATGTGGCGTCATCCATCGACAATTTTCTTCCGAAGGTTCTTGTTAATATTCACATGAACTCCAGTCAGCCAAAAGATGATGGAGTTTTCTGGACAAGTGTAGTGTGGTTGGTTAGGCGGTGGACTAATTAACTTGTCTTTCACAACCAACTACACGCTACTGATGTCTGCACTCACAAACGCGCATTAGTGGTTTCGAAGATAGGACGCTCACAAACTATTCATTTGCTGTGTCTGCGACTTCGACTCCTATCTGACAGAGATGGCATCAGATGTGGACGGTTTGGCGTGATGGTGGAAGTACCAATTATTAAAAATCAACAACCAAAACAACAACAACATCAACAAAACAAGGCTTCTGAGACTTCAATTCAATCCGCCCGCAATACGGTGGGATAAAGGAGAAATTATACGTTTAGATGAATACTCGATGATAACTGTATATTTAAACCACTTTATTTGCATGTTGTGAAATCAACCTTTTCAAGGTTCTCCAATTTATTGAGAAATCTGTTTATTTATCATGCATGTATGCCAGTCACTAGACATTTGTATATTTTTTAACTCATGGAAACTCTAATTGTAACATTTAGAAAATCAAAACAATTGATTCAGCGAAGAGACTCTTTTCAACGAATTTATCATCAAGCTGTACAGTCGTATATATATGATTTATCAGAAGTTATATCCGGTGAGGGAATTGAATCTTAGATGTGAATGCACAAAATAATAATAATAATCATATGAAGTTCAATTAAAACTAAAATGTTTGTGATTATAATCGTAGGTAAATGTCAAATGGCAAAGCAGATTAATGTCATATACAGAATAATTCATAGGAGGGATAGAACTTGAAAAAGGATGTGCAATTATAGGATTAGTAGGCAAATCGAATAAAACAAAAACGTTACGTAATATTGTGTGAAATTTAATAGCATTGAATTTATCGTTGTAAAAAGAATTGATTTAGAATGACAAGTGGAACAAGTGAAATAATACCGGGGACAGTTCAAAGTGACAATAGTAATAATAACAATTGATTTAATAAGGAAGAGTATACAAATTGAATAGACAAAATTAAAAATTAAAAATTGGTAGAGCTAAAATATGATTAGAGATTACCATACTTTAGCATAGATGGATTAAAACCATGAAAGTTGGAGGGGTTGAACGAACTTTTTCTGTACATAGAGATCTGGCTTTTCTGTTTTGATAGCCAAAGCTTCAGCAATACAGATGAGTCGGGTACGTAGGGTTTTGGGTAGATTACTCTTTGCCTTGTAGATGACTTTAAAGCCGGAGGCTATAGAGACAGATCGGGTGATCATCATCGACCAGATACTCAGGGATCGAGCTTCTGATGGCTCCACTTCCACCTTTTCGCAACCATGCAGGATGGTGTTCTTGCACCCTCTTGGACAAAACTCGAGTCGAACGACAGGTATACCTAGCTCCACCGAGTAGGTGAGTTGATAAACACACATAGAATTGGTCAACAGCGGGATCTTGTCCTCTAGGTTATTGAACAGTAATGGTCTACTAGTAAAGGCTATTCTCAGAGATGCATCAGGGAATGTTCTTTTCAGGGAGTGTGTTATCCTTCATTTCATGATATCGGAAGCTAAGTCACCTTTGAATTCCAGGTTCATGTAAAGTATTTTCTTGGGTAAGGTTAATAAGTCACGTTTTATAGGATTTGAATGTACATTCTTGTTTCTAAAACGTGGTGGAAATCCATTTTCCATTAGGATTTTCTTCAAAATGTATAACTCATCTTCCACAGTATCAGTGCTACATATGCGTCGAATACGAGTGGCAAGCGACCGGACCAGGTTTCGTTTTCGACCAATGGGTACTCAGCTGTAGAAATTTGTCAGTTGACCATTCCATGACAGCTTACGATAAATCGATCTCTTCGGAGTTCCATCGGTCCTCCTTGATAAGTTCACATCGAGGAAATGAATGCTAGACTTGTTCTCCATTTCGAGTGTGAATTTTATCGCAGGATGGCAATCATTAAATAAATCTAATATATTATTCAGGTTACAATCACTATTACAAATAATAAAGGTGTCATCTACATACCTTTTATACATTTGAAAGCTTTGGATTATAGGCTTCAGGGAACCATTTTCTAGACTGGACATAAAACAGTCTGCAAGGAGAGGACCCAAGGGAGAACCCATCGCAATACCATCCTTCTATCTGTAGATTGTTTCATTGAAAGTAAACTGTACATTCAATGTACATCTCAAAAGTAGTTCTTTAATATCTGTAGTTGGCATCCCCATATTCAATCAGTTTTCTTGAATATATTTGCATAAAAACATTGAACTCTGTCAGTGGAACTTTTGTAAATAGGGATTCAACCTCCAAAAACAACATATGTTTATTTGACGCATTTATATCCTGTATACATTCAACAAATTGGAAGGTGTTCCGAAGGGAATGATTAGATAGTTGTCCCCTGACAGGTTCGAGGATTTCAGCTAACCACCCAGCTACTGGATGATAGGGCGATTCCAAGAAAGGGCGAAGTGGAACTCCAGCTTTGTGTATTTTCGGTAGACCATAGAGTCTTGGCATTAGAGATCCTGTTGGTCTGATCTTTTCGTATAATTCTTCTCGAATGATATGATTGTTCTTCATTCTTTTTAAAGCTTCGGTTAGTTGTTTCTCAATTAATTCCGTCCTGTATTTCTCGTTCGGTTTCGAGAATTTACTGATGTCTGAGAGTAAACATGACATTTAATCGATATAATCTTTACGATCCATAATAACAGCACCTGCGCCTTTGTCGAGGTGTGTTAATAGTATATCGTTGTTATGCTTCAAATGTTTAAGTACTCCTTCGTGCTGTTTAGTCAGAAGACTTTGCATTTTTGATCTAGCATTAAGGTATTGATTGCAAGAGTCAGTGATGGTCGATTTGAAGCATTGGAAATCCTGGTCTGACAGTGGTGTGAGATCATAATTGCATTTCATACTACTATTATTATTTTATGCATTCATGCCTGTTCTATATATGACATTAATTTGCTTTGCCGTTTCGCATTTAACCATGAGTATAATCACAAACATTTTAGTTTTAATTGCATTTCATATTATTATTATGCTATGCATTCAAACCTATGATTCAATTCCCTCACTGGATATAAAGTCTTAAAAAACCATATTTACGATTGTACAGCTTGATGATAAATTCGTTGAAAAGAGTCTCTTCGCTGAATCACTTAATTGACTACCTTTATATTTCTAGACTAGGCGAATTCCACTCAGATGCCAATGTATTTACGTACACTGTCATTACATGCGGGTAGATTTCATATGATGAAAAAAATATAGCATAAATCCTGTGAATGTTTTTTGAGGGGATTAACATTTTGGTTTGATTACAGGTCAGACTAGTTTACTCTAATGTTCCAGACACCTCATATTCATAATTTTGAGGAATTTGCACTCATTGGATTTGTCAGATATTCGAAGACAATCGAAAAGAAGCCGTGCACTTATGTTTTGTGGGTGTTAGCACTATAGTCAACAGTGTAAATCTTCAACTTCGCTGTAGTTGACGTCCACGCCTACATTAGAACAGACTCCACTCAGTGCTGCAGTCACAGATGTTACTAACTGCTTATTCGACCATTTAGTCGATTTGAGTGAGCACGAGTACGAAGGTCCACGGACCAATCAATGGAATATTAGGCTATTGAAATGCTTTCAACTGATCAAGATATTTACAGGAAATGATCATTTGCACACAAAGGAATGTGCCCACGACACTTTGATCGAGTTCAACGAAGAGAGTTCAAAAATTACCACACTCCAACCAACTGAAGTTAATTGTGAATTTTTACACAACAATAAACGAATACTTTAATTTAACTGTCTCAGTGAATCTTCTGGTGTGATTTTCAATATCTGCAGAAATATCTCTCTGTGTGTATATACTTCTGATTGAGGTCAGTGATTGTAAATCACTTATTTGTGAAAGTGGAATATTCTAAGGTGATCAAATTTCTGCTTGAACACTCCACATTTATTCTCCACTTCTGAATGGAGGATCGTTTCATATATACAGACGTTGATTTCAAACTGTGAGTTTATATTTTAGTCCAGATAAATTTTTTCAAATATTCCAAATGATAATGACAATAATTCTGTCAGTAGCAGAGGCAGTTATTTTGAGCTTGCCACTGGATAGCCTAGCTGACGCGCCACTGAACATCTCTCATCATTTTTCATTGGATATAAATGATACTGGGAACCCTGTGGACAAGGCGAAAGTGTATGAGAGCACAACTAACGAAGCAATATTCTACCTTGATGCACCGATGTCGGAAACCATTGCTCATAGTCAGAGAATCTTAGTATGATGTTTGTAATTCACCGAATGACATTCGATTTCATATATTGGTTAATTAGGCATGTCTAGTGAGATCCATATATAGCATTGTCTAGCCTGTACTGATATGAAGAGAATCATTGGATTGTAAACACGAAAACTACTGATTGTGTCTCAGGCGTTACACATTACTTGCCTCCCTATCCGTTCTATAACCAATCACAGTCTGTCAAATGACGATCAAAGTTCACTCACATTGACCTTTCTTCGATAAACACAAAATAACTATTGTGTGCATTGTTTTGTTCATATTGATTTTCAGGAAGGAGGACATACTTGTGTTATAAATACATCGAAATCATCGACCACCTGATAACACCACACAGATGAAATCAGGTAAAGTGATCATTGGATTGTTATTTATGGATTACTGTGTTCTTCATGAGTTATTCTGAGTTCTGTGTCAGATGAAAATTTCGCATTATACTTTCGAGATTTCATCCTGGTTAATCTCGAATTAGGATATACCTGTTTAAAGATACTGTCAGTGGATAATTTTCAGTGAATACACAGTGTGAAATTGCCTATTTCACTCAGTGTCACGTATTTTTGTCTCGGTTGTAAGTCGTTCCACACAGTTTCTACAACTGGCATATATATAGAATCACAACTTCTATATTGAAGTACACCTTTCACTGATTCGCTCACTTATGACAGCTCACAAAACACCAACTTCCATGGATGCGTGTGATTGGAATTATGTTGGTCTATCAACCGTTCTGGATACAACACCCATTTGGTGATCATAGTGGAGGAACTATTGGATTCCTGTCCATCTAAGCCATCGAATTCATTTTGAGGCTTGACTGTGGACATTACGCTTTTGGTTGTTCTCAGGCGCATTTCCTATGTTGTTGGTTTGCCATTAGCTCTGAAATAGTAGAGAGTTTTGGTTTTTGGCCTCTGCATGATCGCGGAGCATAACCAATTCACTGCATAAAACTTCAGAGAACAATAAAAATTGAAACGAAGCTCATTTTTCGATGTGATGTGTGAGACGGAATGATTCCGGCTTGTGAAAGCTTTTCGTTTACCAGTCAGATGATGTGTCTTCTTTTGATGAAGACAAAATAATGCACTGGATCTAGAATTTTCACATAATGCTCGAATCTGAGTGGTTGTTAAAGCCCAATGTTCCCCACAGAGCACATATTAATGATATCCTAATTTCAATTATTCCACCTGACATTCTTGATACAATTGATGCATTTTAGCGGAATTATCAGAGACGATGGCTGATAAGAAAGCCACAGCTGACTCAACGCTGGTGAATCGTGAAACTGAAATGTTGGACAAATACCCGAGAAGAGTAGGTCTACTCTCCATTGATGAAGGTAATTACTGATTGTAGGTTATCGTGTTTCTTGTTGTAATGTGCTTTATCACACTGGGGATAACACCCGCTTTGGCCTTCTTGTATGTCGCCATATATCGAATAACTTAACTAATTTTCTTTCAGACCAACTAAAGATCTATACGTGTCGATATTGATTTCCGTCTTATACATCGTCCTGTGTGTTCACTGTACAACCAATGAAACTGAGTTTAAATAATTTTGTTTAATGTTAATATCTGTTATACATTAGCTATATTTGATTAGATTAGGTATTGTATATACCATACTATCGGAGTCATTTTGAAGTTTCCAGCTTACCACATAATCACACTTGATTAATCATGGTAACGCGATAAGTATTCTCACGTAACACATGAGAGTGGAATATAATTTTTGACTGTCAGGAAATATTGAAGTGGATTGTGCCAGAGATGTCGCCGTAGAAAACGCTTTTAAATGCACTTCAAGCACAAACACTGTCGCTTTAACTACTGCATATTCACAGGATTCAGTGAAGTCTAGGTTATACTGCATCTCACAATAAGTCAAAAAGCTAAAACCACAATTGATGTGGGACTCACTGTCGTATGTTTTAGCACACTCCACGAACATGAATAGAATTAATATGAAAAGTTTGAGGTACAATCTTTGATGAAGAATGAAAATGTCAGTAGGTGAATTCGAGCCATCTACAAGAGTGTGAGTGGTACCACATCTATTATCAACTGTCAGATATACTTCACTCAAATTATCAGATTTTGAAATGTTTCTGAGCTAAACCTAGCGAAAGGAGGTGAAGAATTCGCTGTGAGCTCATTTGTGAAAGGAATGGCGATAGTTATTTTATTTTCATTATTTGGACATTTTAGCGTCAACCGATATACCGCGGCGTATTGTACTGGATGCTCCAGGTAAACAGATTAAGTTTGCTCCATAGGAGCAAATCTCTGGTACTGCAAATTTACTGATTAGTAGACTGAACGTGTGTGTCAGATTTCACATTCCTGTATTTCACATTATCTGAATACAATGACAGAAGCGTTGAATTAGGAGGATATTGGAATAACTGTAGTATCAGGCAGCAGGATCGTTCATAATTCACAGATAGAAATTTACTTCACGAATTTTCAAGAGAACTTCACAATTTACATTGACGCATAATTTTTACAATTCCCCATAGACACATCATTTATTTCCTTCACATTTCAGGGCGATTCTTGAAATTGCGTTGATATTTTTGCTGATGAAATTCGAGAGAATAAGGAGACGATTCCCCGCGAATTTCTTCTTGACGATGCTGCACGTATGAATTTGATGTATTCATTGTTCATGCTTATATTTCATTGAAAATTGTGTTAGATTGTCATTGTGTGAAACACTGCATTGTGTAGTGCGTTTCTTCGATGTATTGAGAATTGAAGTATGCGATAACAGAGTATATGCCTAAATATCACAAATCCAATGTAATTTCTCCATGCATTGGATACCAATTGGACATTGGAATCATCAGTAATCATGAATGCATTAGTCTAATTCACAAATACTGAAGGATTCCTCAGAAGGTGCCAATAAACCTAATACTCTTGATGAAATATTCAGAAGGTCGTTTTACATCTGTAATGCACTGATAGTCGATTTGGTGTTCGACTGTTAAGTATAAGTTCGTCATAAATTAGAATTATGTGGTATTTCAGGCGCGGTTATCTAATAAATTACGTACTTCCTGATATGAGTAGTAATAATTGGCAGTGACGAATAGGACTGAACTCTGTCAAAATCGCAGTTTAGCCCGCCAAAATATTACTAGATATCGCATAATTGACGCAACAATCTTGTTGAACACAGCTCACAATTGGTTTACATTTGTAACACTAGAGAATAATGATAACGAGAATGATGGAATAGTCATTACTTAATGCAAAATTTTCACAATTGATTTTCTACTATTTGTAGGCTGCATGCTTGTCCGTGCTGACAGAAGCAATGATGATCGGAAAGGATTACAGATGGGTACTTGGTGTAATGGCGTTGGCTGTGGTCCTCTACATCATGTGTATATCGATAGGTGCTAGCGTGCGAAGTGAACTCAGGGTGGGCTCTCTGGGAATGCTGATAGGCTACATTGCCTTCTCTCTTGCAGTGGGTGCTGCCACAATCGCAGTTTTCTACTCTGGCGACCACGTGAGTGAGTTGTGTAAATATTTTTATTTTCGTGAATGTTAGAGCATGAAATGAAGTATTTACATTCAAGGTGTCGAAATTCGCATAACCTTATCCATGCCTTCATTTTTGGGAATTGAACTATTGTCCAGTGAACTAAAAATTTCACTTTGCATAGAAATTGATGTGTGAAATGTTCCCTCTGCATGTGGTATTTATTAACATAATGTACTTCTCATTTATTTGTACGATGTAGGCTACGTGGTCATTACTGATTCTCGCAGTGGGTACAACTATTCTAGTAATACCGGTAAGTTTTCACTGTAGTGAGTTGCACTTCGTTGTGCATTTATGTTGTCCCTTTTCAAGTTGTTTCAACGAAGCAATGATGCGAACTATCGTCTGAGTCCTATTCCGATGTTGATTTGTACAAACATCGCGTGCATATGTCTGTATGTCACTGTCTGTGAAATGCACATCTTTAGCTGTAGTTACTCATTGTTTATATTCTTTTGACTTCTGAATGTAATGTAAGGCTTCATCAGCACTTCTATATTTTAGGCTGTTTTCCAGAGAAGATTTTACGTTTCTGGAAAATTTACAACAATTTTCCGTTCCCTCCTTACCGGATTTATTGGATTTCATCCTCGGAGTAAGCTCGAATGAGTCGCCCTTCCTCTTTGGGTTTCACTTGATATCATTCAGAGATTTCCTCAGCGTAGCATATGTTCAATGCATTTCAATTCCATCAGGAATGTTGATTGAGCGACAGCTACCTGTTTGGCTTAATTCAAGAGTTCTTTGTTCTTGATCCTTTCTATCAGTCTACTTAACTTCACTAGACGCTATAGGCAGCTCTTGATAATTATCTGCAGCCCATTTAAAATGCTTCTCATATAAGGAGCTCCAAGTCTCACAATCATGTTCGTTGTATCACTAACTGACTTGACATTAGTGTTGACAATCAGATTAGTGTCCCCTATTCTCGAGACTGCAATGATTTTACAATATTTCAGGTCTGTTTGGCTTTTCCAATCCTTGCTGGTTCTGACATGGCGATCTGTTCAGCCTGTACTTGAAACGATGATGCTGACCTCAGTAATAGTGGTGAATTCCTTCAGGTTCCACCTGTTAATAATGAGTGTTGTTCGTACGTGTTGGTTTGTCAGAGTCGAACAGTTAGCTCAGGCAATGAATCAAATGAAACCGTAAAATTTGGCTAATCATTTCATGCCAAATGATGAAGTGACCTCATTGCACATCCCTCATAACGGCTGCAGTACAAGTACTCAAAATGAAGCAGGTTGATCTGATCATCTTTCAATGCACCACTCATAATTCCACATATTCATATAAGGATAAAAATTCACACACTTCCATGGGACAAATTGAGATGAAGTTTATCATCTACAACGCTTAATGCAGCATTTGTCGGAATAAATATGAAATAATACTAGTAATGGATATGCAAATTTCATAATAATGATAATTTTATTGATTTACGGTACATCTGTTGGGATATCCAGTCACCAAAATAAATGAAGAATGAAATCCAACTGACCTGCATAATTTTTTTAAATAAATAAATAAGCCGATCTCCTCAGATAATCCACAATTCACCTTCACCGTTTTTTTCTCATATGCTGATTAGGTCGCCTTATTTTTCGGTCAGATAACACTTGGCCAGATTCAATTCAGAGAATTTGGTCGAGATTACTGTTTTGCTTCAATTGCTGCACATGCTGTTCTTCTCATATTTTTGATCACACTCAGCATTGGACTCAAGTGTCCAACGAAAACACGACAAACGACGGAACGCGAACCGACTGGGAGCTTCACACAATAGAAGCATTCGATTGCGGAAGTGTCCAATTCATAACCAACATCAAACATTTTTGTTCACCATGAAATTTGTAGTCAAAACACTTATACAGAATTTCTAGTAAAAATCTAATGATTCTAAAGTATTACTGTTGTTTTCAAAATTGTTGTTGTGAAATATTATCATAAATAATAGATCATCTGAATAAAGCTGAATATCATATCTTCACACTGACAAACGTCAACCACACAGGAATAGCCAGGTCCATGTGTGAGAAGATATATGAAAGCGTAACGAGCGAATTTGTAAACGATAATGCAGTCGATAGATTGACAAATCCTACTTACTTTGAATACTAAGTAACTTCGATATTCGATAGATTTTACAATTCTATGAGTAGTGTCTCAAAGTGGTTTATATTCATTTCTTAATTGGAACTGCTGAGCATAGATAGGATATTTCAGTGAGAATTAACGTCACTGATCACCAAGCAATTTTACAAGTTATCACCCATTCAACACATGTGGTAAATCTGTAGATACTTACACACAAATTATGATGTACACAAATTTTGAAAAGTTGAGGGATGACAATCATCTGCGTTTGGTATACTTTGTAGTATTAAATACAACAATACGGGTATTTTGTGATGCCTTCACTCAATGTTGAATGGGACAGTGAAAACCATTTGATGAATTCCACTACTTATTAGCTTATATCGTCTCAGATAAATGATTGACTTGAGAATCTTTTCAAATTCGTGAGAATGCAGATGTGATCCTCAGACTAACAATTAAACACTGTGAATGCAATGTGAATGTAACCATTGCATAAATAAAGTTCGAGCGATTTAATCTTTGACAGATAACATTCACTAGAATCAGTAAAGCAGAAGTACCATAGAACCGATAATGGTTGTTGTGTCGGCAGTTCACTGACAGAATAGTCGCAATTTGGGTTTCTGTGTCCACCCGACGAACCCCTCATTCTCACTTAGCTTGTATCAGCCTCGATTACCAAGGAAGGTTCTTCTTGAAGCTGGCAATCCACTCCGAAATAATGGGACGACGACTGATGAAACTTCATTGTTGAAGCTTGCAGCCCTAAGTTCAATTAGGAACGCAAAGAAATGAGAAAACGGCTTACTCCGAACTTCTTCTGAGTTAGTCCTACCAGTTATACGTCATTGCGAGCAATTTTCTTTCTGCCTCTGGCTTTATTCTAGTGTGAATAGATTTAAATCTGAACTGACAAAGTTGATTTCTCGGTCAATGAATGACGTATAAATGGGTCAAATCATGGAGAGAATGTTGATGATTACATTTACTATAACAAACTGTAAGTTGTTAGCTTGATTAGATAGAAAAATGACGACAACTTCACATCACAGTAGGCGAATTTCGATTGTTATGTGCATATGAAAAAGCAGAAACCTATAGAATTGATTATATTTGACTGTAAAATTAAACGAACCGAAGAAGTTGAACGGTACACTAAGGTTTGTGATTGATATCAAGACTTTAATTAATCTCATCCGTTGTCTGTGAAGGAAGGCTGAGTTAAGTGTGTCTAACATGCTGAGCAATAACACTCGGTAGCACATTAACAAGCTCAGATAATGAAATGAAACAGATAGAAAAAGCATCGATGTTCAGTAAGTATCCCATAATATTTACAGAAAAGATGACAAATGTTCACATGAAAAGGAAAAGTAGAGGTGAAAGAAGCAATAACAACAGAAATAAGAAAGCGTTCAAGGCATCTACAGTCGTATCATTTAAGGATTGGACATCCAAAACTTTGTGTGGGATTATCAATAAAGCCGGAATTTAGGTGATGTATGAAGTGGCAAAATCATTCAGGGAGAAAATGTGTAGCTTAAGCGTCTTATTGTCCACAGAATGTCTTCCAGAGACTTGTTTTGTCGAATACACTGATCAAATTAATCGATCTGTCCACTTCAGCTTATCAGAAAATAAAAATCTTGATAAGTGTCAATGATAACTGACTCCACGAAGATGAGCAACTCAGTAAGCTACTTAGCTATTGGAATGTCCTGCGAATCGGGTGTGACTGTGATACCATTATGAAGGGTAATGTAGGTCGACGCAGAGAGACGTTGATACCTAAATCTCTGTTCATCGAATTTACGCGAAACATATGCAATAGAAATGACCCAGAACCAATACGAGAGGTACGGAAAATATTACCATCAGTCGAGGAATAATTTTCCACTTGTTTTTGCCTACTCAATCAATGTAATCACACTCTATTATATTATTTATTGAATTTTACCGACACTCATCTTATTTCACATCTTCTTGCATTTACAATTACCAATATGCTTGCTGAAGAGTGGCAACTAGAAGGAAACCTAGGTCCAAGGCTTCCTAACGATTGCCTCCGACTATCTTATTGCTTTATCTTCCTATCATTTATTTCCCCCATTTCTTTTGCAAATTATATTGACTTCTTTGTAATCAGTCATTCAACCAATCACTTTGTAAGTCATGTAAGTGAATGAAATTTTGAAGTTGTGCGAGTACCTTCATATGATTATGAATGGCAAATTGTGCTCTAAAAGTCATCAGTAAATAATGGTATATAGCACTATGTGAAAATATCAAATACATTTACTCCACGGACAAAATCTACTACTACGTTACTGAGGAGTTCTTTCTAGCACTGTTAAGCAGTCGTGCAGACGTGCTCGGTATCCAGAGTTCACACGTTGCTTAAGGATAGAAATATTGGTTTCCTCCTTTACTACTCTGGTTAGGGAAGCTGGACAGTGTTCCAGAATAAGTTTACACACTCGACGTTGTGCGTGACCGATATATAATTGTGTAGTGACTCATTTTATTACTCATCATCGTAGTATACTTTACTATGTAATATGACTTTGATTTGTTTATCAATCTAATGATTGTGTGTTATCAATTGATATATTTGTACTCGCTCAACTTTTCAATTTTAATTACTGCGTTAATACACGTTTGTACTCCTTCTCAAGTGGCTTCTGATTTACGTTGTGGATGTCGAGCAAACACAACTTTAGGACACAATATTAATCTCGAAGAAGTACTAGGATATACGTGTACGCCAGTTTGCTCAAAAAGAGTACCACAACAATTGCCTATTATGTGGAAAGTAAACTGATGACTACAAATACAGCTGGACAAAAGCAGTATCTTATCCTTGACACCTGACTGGACTAACTGTCTAATGGTCAATATTATTCATGAGGGAACCGACTGGAGTGAACCCTTGTGAGATTTGGAAAGATGTTCTCTAAATATGTTTGCCTCACTTCCTTCTTTGAATTCCAGGTTCACGAAAGAAGTGTTCTTAAGAACAGTTGCAAGTTTTAGAAGCAAGGTTGTTTCTCCCAGGGTTTTGTGAATAAATCTGAGTGGATATCCTGTTTCTGTTGAAGTGTCGCTTAGCGACTTCAAACCAGTGTCTATCACAAATTCCAGACTGACTCGTTGAATCTTTGAGCATAAGCTACTTACTGAATTTTAGCTTGTGACCAGTAGGCCTCAGTCCTGGAATTTTTTAAATTGTCTAGTCCATTTTGGTTCCTTTTACTTTCATGTTTGGATCGAGTAGTCTTGTTCCTAGTGAATAATACATCCAAGAATAAAAACGGCATGTATGCTACATGTGCCTGGTCGAATGTTCTGGGGTGATCGCCTAGAGTGAAATTTTCATCACAACTTATAAAAGTATCGTCTACGTGTCTTTTGTAGAAGCGGAACTGACTGATCATCGATTCAATCGTGTTGTTTTCAAAACGCATCTTGAAACAGTTAGCTAATAGTAATGAATAGGTATGCAGACAGCATAAGCAATTTGGAAGCCTGGCCAGCAGCAACGCAGTTAAAAACCAAGTATCCATCAAATATGCATTAAGAAAACGTGATGCACCGGGGATATGCCACGGAGTGGAAATCGCTGAATGACATCATGAGCAAGGGATTCCTCCAAGTGAAGTCCGAAATGGAAGTGACTAGCTTGGCATATGCTCGAGGACATTATGCAGGAGATAATGCGAGTGACAAATTACAGTTTATGTGAGACCGGTGAGTAAGCTGTGGAAGACTGTAGAGAACTGGGTTAGATGGTGATGTTCCCATGAAAACGTACATTCCACTCGTGGCCTGTGGAAATAATTATAATAAAATAACACCTGTAGGTTGAAATGTGATGGAATTATTCGTGCGTTTTCCTCTGACAGTGGCATACAGTCGATTGATGAAAATGGGTGTACAAGTCCATCACTGAATAAACACACCAAGTGACTATGTGTGTCTGAGCAATGATAAAATGAATTCAAGCAGGTAAATAACGAAATGTATCTCATTATAATGAAGACTAACTGGTATTACTGAAATATTTGTACCTGCTGGGAGGACCATAAGTGTCCAGTCAGTCTACATCGTAAGAGATAAATGATAAATACATTTGAGCAATCAAAATTATAAACCACCGGATTATTACATAAATGCATTTCTTTATGAAGTAAGAAGTATACGTCACTGAAAAATGTTTTAGAAATCACTCTGCATCTGTTTAATTCGCTCAAATCACCGAACGGATAAGATGATGAGTATTTTGCCACTTGAAACAGAAATATTTCATTTTATGTTCTATCCCTTAGTAAAATATGAAATATGTGTACAAGACACTTACGTTTTCAGGTTGAGAGGAAACCTCAAGCACAGCAGCGGCGATTGCATCTGAGGAGACAGCAAAGGTTATCACTATCCATAAGGAGTCCAATTTCAGTTCACTTCTCAGAGTCGCACCTATCTATATACACATGATGTAGAGCACCACAGCTTTTGCCATCACAACAAGTACCCATCTATCATCTCTCCCGATAAATGGTACTCGTGTTAATACGATGAGGCGAACAGACTACAAAACAGAGAATTAAACATGAAAATTGTGCTTTCCTGAATAGATATTTTGACAGTCTCATGGACACAATTTGATCGTGTTGGTGAATAGGCTTAAGGGTGATTCGATACAAATGAATATGACTAATGAATACCATTTAGCATAGTTTTTAACTCAGCGAAGTGATTCTTTGTAATATTTTATCATGCCGAATAATACCTGTTTCATTTTTCGTATTGATCGCCAGACAATAATCTCCATATCAACAAAGGCTGTAACCATTCAGAAACAGTACTTGAAATTACACATGACTTTTGTACACACTTAAGTTATACCCAGCCAATCAACTTCAAATCAAATATTATTGCATTACAATTTTCAAACTACTATTCGATTTCGCCATTTGTCTCTACCACAATGCATAAGTTGTATTCTCATATCAAAACATACCTAGTTCTTTTCCTAATGATTTCTGTCACTGAACCAACTTCAACTGTAATTTTAAGCTCACCTTGATAAAACCATTTCGAATGTGCTTCCTCATCCACATTCTTGGCACCGCATTTGAACCTCAATTCAGAATAAGCAGGCTAACTTAGAGATTTACGTGAATGCAGCCATATGGGTGAGGATATCTTTTACAACGATTGTGAACTACTTACAACCGTTGAAAGTCAACTATAATATATGCATGAAAATCTATATATATATATATATATATATATATATATATATATATATATGTTGATTTCCTTAATAAATGATCTGTTGTTTGACCCTTGTCTTCTGTTATTACAGAAGAAGCTATGAGATCATTTTCCACATGTTTGCTGACGGAAATATGATAAAACAAATGACAAAACCGAATACCCAATGTCCTGTTTTCGACGTTACCTCAGAGAATAGAAGAATGGTATTTGCTATTGAAGGTCAATAGCACTCAGCATCAAAAATAAGATCCGGATTTTCAACTCCAATGTGAAGTCAGTGCTACTATACGGATCAGAGACTTGGCGAGTCATAAAGAGCATCTCAAACAAACTTCAAACCTTCATTAACAACTGTCTCCGCTCAATACTCAAGATCAGATGGCCAGAAAAGATCAGCAACAGGGATCTCTGGGAGCGAACCAATCAGGAACCGATTGTGAAACAAATAGGCAGAAAGAAATGGAGATGGATTGGCCATACGCTGAGGAAACCATCAAGTGACATCACTAGACAAGCCCTCGAGTGGAACCCGAAAGGGAGGCGGCGAGTTGGTCGTCCAAGGTTGACTTGGAGGAGGTCATGCGAGGGGAGATGAAAGCATGTGGACAGACCTGGAGCAGGGTGAAAAAGTTGTCAGAAAACCGAAGTCAATGGAGGTGCGCAGCTGAAGCCCTATGTTCCTCTAGGAACTAAAGGTTACAATAATAATAATAATAAATTGAATTAGTAATAACTGATTTTATATATTGCTTAGTTAGGTATACCTGTATGATGTATGAAAATCATGTGACCATAAGTAAAGTTTAATACTATCTTAGAAGTTGTGTATACAGTGCCATACACTACTTGTCTCACAATACGTAGTGTAACCAATCACATTTTCTCACCTGATGATCAAAGTCCACTCACACTAACCTTTGTCTCAATAAATCAGACTAAATATGATGTGCACTATTTTGCTCATATGGATTTACATGAGAAAAGATAAAAATTAGTTATAAATATATATATCGAAATCAACCTCCACCGAATAACACTACACAAATGAAATCAGGTAAAGTCTGTATTGATTTTGAGTTTTCTGTCAGGGTAAAATTTTGATTTATACAGTGTAGTTTTCTTATTGATTTATCGCATAAATGATACGTATTTGTCGACCATTACCATGGCTTAATAAAACAACAACCATTCCTCGGGCGAAAATACAGACTCCAATGCACTCTTCCCCGTTGTTTGTCTTCTCGTTACGAGATATGCCGCCAATGTGATGTGGGGCAGCACATGTGTGATCACGACTTCAAAGTTATCTGCAACATTTCCCGATCTCCTTAGTTATGACACTTTGCAAAAGATCAGTGGACATGGAGTTATCTGACCGGTATTTAGTTGGTCTGCCCACTATACTAGAAACAACACCCATTTATTGATAACAATGGCGAAAACTTCAGAACTTTTCTTCATCTAACCAATTAACTGCACTTCGAGGTTTGCATGTAGGCGTTGTGATTCAGGGCCTTCATGTCACTCTCATCTACCCTCTAGTTTATTGCTCAATCTTTAGCCCTTTTAAAGAAGGAAAACTTGCCCCGTGGTTACCAACCATGTCCCGGGAAAGTAATCCTGTCATCAGAGATACCTCAAAGCGCAACAAAAAGATAAATAAAGCAATTTTATTATTTTTGCAGTTGGTGAGATCAAATAATGCAGAGTGATAAAAGCCTCCTGGGAGCCAGTCAGCTAATATGTCTTCTTGCTATGAACGCAGAATTAAAGACACGTGGAATGTTTACCCACTGCTCGAAGCTCAATGTCCCACTGAGAACCCAAAGCAATATTTATATAATTTCACATGCATAGAATCTCACATATTCTATATTACTGTCGTGTTATAACTTATACATTTTCATAGAATTAACAGTGTGGAGAGGAAATATGAAAACTACTGTCAATCCAAGACTAATGAGTCGTGAATCTAAAATTTCAGACAAATTTCCAAAAAGAGTAAGTCTATTATCTACTGATGAAGGTAATTATTGATTATAGGTTATAGTGTTTCTTGTTATGATGTGCTTTATCACACTGGCCATAACAGCCGGTATGGTGTTCATGTATGTTGACATTTGCATAATTAATGAATCACCTTTCAGAACTAAGATACCTGATCATGAAATAGTGACTGCCGTCTTATATATTGTCGTGTGAGTCTGCAGTACAAATGATAACACTGAGTTTAATACGTTTTATGAAATACTATATATATATATATATATATATATATATATGCATATTTTATTGGTTGCAGTATTTCATCATGAGCTGACATTAGTTAGAGAACCATTGGAAAACCTGTGAGTACTCGACGGCTGTTTCGTCCTATTTTGGGACTCTTCATCAGTACGCACTCACCGGGATATTTTAATATTGACAAATTTGATAGGTCTTATATTTCATTCTCAGAGTCTTTTTCACTTTTTCGTCTTACCACTGAATTATGCTTGATTTACAATGGTGACAGCATAAGACGTCTTTGAACACCACGCATGACAGTGAAATGTAATGTTTGACGGACAGAAAAGCTGGCACTGTGATGAACTGGCATTTTCTCGTCAGAAAATGATGTGAATCAAAAACAGAGATTCGTTCGATTCGTCAGTCGCACATTCACAAGCTTCATTAAAATCTAGAATACAACATCTCACAATAGGTCAAATAGCTACAACGATATTGTATTTGTAACGCAGCGCAGTATGCTGCTTTAGCCTTTCACACAAACTTTAAACAATTACCGTTCTGAATAGAACAAAAAATAAGCTGTTAAGTGGAATAAAATATAAGTTGATTAATTAGAGTTTTCTACAAGAATGTTAGTGTCATCACATTTATTTCTCAACAGTCAGATACCTTTTATTGAAATTATCAACCTTCAAAGCGATACTGCAATCAGCATTACGAGCGAAGGATTATTTCCTACCGCAATTGCATAATGAATGACGATAACTTTTGATGTGGTTGTGTTCCCTGAGCTGGGAAGCTTTTATCTCCCGTCCTACTAGGCGACATAATCAGTGCATACTTCACTTCGTTGAAGTGAGCTTTTAGATTCATCCACGAGGTAGTTATTAGTCATCTCTACTAATGAGTGGACTTGGACGTGAATGCTTGTTTTTGTGTGTTTTCACACCTTCTAGGTTACTTGTATTTGAACTAATTGTTTCCTTGACTTGAACTTTCACCTTTTGTGTGTGAGGTTTCTTTCTTATCGGTTGATAAATTTTGTCTATCTCGATGTGTTTATCGATTGATGGTTCAATGAAATGCCAAGTTTCAAAAAATTCCTTAGCATTCTTGTTGTTTACTCCGTTTAATATTTGAACGTTGACTCAGTTGAACTGATTTCCGTGATATGACGGAGTTTATATCATGTCTCTTGACGGCTAGCTTATGTTCATGGATACGAAGACGAAGGGGACGTCCACTTTGGCCAATGTAGTGTTTTTCGCAGTTGTTACAATTTATTCTGTGGATGATGTTGGTTTTATCTTCTTTCGCTGTCCAGTCTTTTGGTTGACATAGAATTGAGTGAAGTGATTTTGTTTGTTCGTGTGCGAGGTCAATTTCTAAAGGTTTGAAGAGTCTTGTTGTGATTTTTGAGATATCCTTTATATATGTTAAGGCGATTTTCTATGTGCTTTCTTTGGGGCTTTTTGGTTTGATTGGTTGGCTTGAGGGTGCATGTCTTTTGATAAAATTCCGTGTATATCCATTCTTTTGGAAGACGTCCATGAGATAATTTTCTTCAATTTTCCTTAAGGTGGGACTGCTGCAATGAGTCCTTGCTCTCTCGAATAGTGTTTGTATACAATTCCTTTTGTGTGATATCGGGTTGTTGCTGTTCTAATTCAGGATTTGGTCTGTGTGAGTTGATTTCCTATAAACTTGAGTTTCTAATTCTCCTGTGGTTGTTCGCTTGACTAAGACGTCCAAAAATGGTATTTTGTTCTCGGATTCCTCTTCTCTTGTGAATTTGATGTCGTTGAAGACGTTGTTTATTAAGATGTGAGTTTTATCTAACTCGTGTCTTTTGATTATTACAAATGTGTCGTCGACGTAGCGTATCCACATCTTGGGTTTGATCTTTGGTAGAATTATGTTTTCAAGTCTTTGCATCACTGCTTCTGCAATCAAACCTGATATTGGCGATCCCATGGGTGTTCCTCTGACTTGTTCATATATTTGGCCGTTGAATTGGAAGTATGTTTTTAGGCATGAGTTTATGCATTCCAGACAGAGGAAACAACAAGAATGCTAGAGAATCTTTAGAAGCTAGCCTGGTATTCCAGTGAATCATCAATCAATAGACACATCGAGATAGACAAAATTTATCAACCGATAAGAAAGAAACCTCACACAAAGCGTCAAAGTTCAAGTCAAAGAAACAATCAATTCAAATACAAGTAACCTAGAAGGTGTGAAAACACAAAATCCCATCCAATCACATCCAAGTTCATTCACCAGGAGAGATGGCTAATAAACTTGTGAAGAAGTCTAAAAGCTCACTTCAACGAATTGAAGTATGCGCTGAAGATGTCGCCTAGTGGTGGGGCGATGAAAGCTTCGCAAATTAACTCTCCAGCTCAGAGAACACAACCACATCAAAAGTAGCCACCTTAGCTGCGAATCTTTTCTATCATATAATAATGACGATAACAAATTTGATTTCATTAGTTAGACATTTTATAGTCAACTCATAAAGCACAGTTTAGTGTAACGAATATTTCTCATCAACAGATAAAGTCTGCACCATTACCCGCAGCTTCGAATTTCCTCATTTTTATGCTACGTGTGTGAGTGAGATTTCACAAACTGATATTTCGCTGACTCGGAATGCAGAGCATGTAGCGTTGAAATTTAAATGATCCCTTTTGTAATTAATAGTGTTCTCTGAGCTGGTTGGTTTAGTTACGGAGCTTTCGGTGTCCTTCTAGACAACATCTTCAGCTTAATATTTAGCATAAAGTGAAATGATTTAAATTTTCTCCATGAGTGATATAAATGCGTCTCCTGGTAACCATCTTTACGTGTGTATTGACAATTTTTTATTCACTCGGATTTTAAACTTTCTGGTCACTTGATTTACTTTTTTATTAGTTGGTATATTTGGTCTATATTACGGTGTTTGTTAATAGCGTATTCGTTTGAGGAATCCCCTGACTGCACTTTTGGTGTTTCCTCTGTCCAAAATATCGATCTTTAAACGACTGTAGTATGAAGTAACAATGTCAAAGCTGAATCATTTGTAATTTTCACCTTTCCACAGGCAATCAGTGAAGTCATGAGTTTTCGCACATGAAATTCACACATTTCAATGACGCGTAAATTGTAAAATTCACTATATAGACATCATCTGTTTTCTTTTTCATATTTTAGGGCGATTACTACTGTCGGTGTAATCAGTCTGCTGCTCATATCGGACAGAACAAGGAGACGATTCCCTGTGAATTTTTTCTTGGTGATGTTATATGTATGAACTCTGTGTATCTATTGTTCATGCTCATATCCAATTGTCGATTTCTTCAGCTTATCTTTATGTAAAAGCATTGAATAATATTTTTGGTCTGTATGTATTGAGAAACGAAGGATAAATTAACGCAGTATATCAGTAAATATCTCAATCATATTGAAGTGACTTCATGAATTAGATCGCAACGGGACAGTCGAATCCTGTGTGGTGTTCAAATTATTAGTCATCTCCACGAATACTGAAGAATTTCTCAGCAAGCATAAATGAGCGTAATGCTCATAGTGTTATATGCAATATTGGTGGAAAAAATCTATGTATTATGAATATCATGTTCGCTAGTGACTTGCTACAGGATAGCGTTTCCTGGAGTTCTAGTGAGAAGTCGTCACCAGTTAGGTCCATGCAGTCAGGCTTGAGGATGGATGTTCTTTACTGATGAGATTGGTTGGTGGTCGCGCTAAGTTACAAATTGGTAGAATCTAGAAATAATAGACAGTTGAATTGGGTTGCAGTGGCTGAATGGTATATGAGTATGCCTTGTAACCGGAGGGTCCTGGGGTCGAAACCCAGTTGGTATGTACTCACGATGACTCCCGAAAAACAAGAATGAAACGGCTGTCCAGTACCCCTTGGCTGGTTTTCAATGGTTCTCCAACTGATCAACTCTTAAAAATGCGAATAGTCGTTTAATATTTACAAGGCAGAATTATTTGATTTGATGTTGGTTGTCCAGGCACACCTTCATCGAACTGTGAGGCAGTGATGCTAGGTGTGACTAAACTGGAATGATTATGAGGCATAATTTATGCTTGACATTTCATCTAATGGTTAATACTGCATCTAATATTGAACCACATTCTATCACTGTGACCAGGTTGTATACTTACACTGACACACCCAGCACGCATAAGAACCGCATCGGATTCCAAGTGCAGTTGCATATTAGATTTTTTTCTCAACCGATATGGAGAGTATTATTTAGTGGTAATTATGAGAACTGAATTTCATGTGAGTGACATTATCGAGGTCACCGTCTTGTTTAACACTGATAACAATGTTGTATGCATCTATAACAGTATACATACGTGTTAATGAGAACGCCAGAGTATTGATTTATTCATGCAAAACGTTTTGTGTCTCTTCCTACATTTTCTAGTCTGCTTGCTTGTCCATGCTGACACAGACTATGGTGATTGGAAAGGATTACAAATGGGTACTTGGTGTGATAGCAGTAGCTTTGGTCCTCTACATCATGTGTACATCGATAGGTTCAACTGTGCGAAGTGAACTGAATCTGGGCTCACTAGGAATGCTGATAGGCTATGTTTTCGCCTCAGCTGCAATTGCAGCTGCCACACTTGTACTCTACTTTACGGAAACCTACGTAAGTGAGTTGTAAAAATAAATGTATATATTTTAATTAAAAGAATCATATCCATTTACTGACCAAATGACCAAGGCGTTTGTGTGAAGTAAACAGCAGGAGACTGGCAAGTGAACTATTATTCAGTGATACACACGCTTTACTGCACAATGAATGTATATGCGCAATATTTAGACTGCACTTAGCTTTCATCAACTTAACGTAATTTTCTTTTATTCGTATAATATAGAGTAAATGGTCATTGTTGGTTCTCGCAGTGGGTACAACTATTCTAGCGATACCGGTAAGTTTTAGTTATATTGAGATACATACGGTTATGTATTTATGTTACTCTCTTAAATTTTATCTTAACAAGACTAAGATGCAAATTATCACTTGTGTGTCATATTCAGCGATTGGCTTGTACAACCATACAAGCGTACAAATAACTGTATGTTGTTGTCAGTGAAAAACGTGAGAATACTTCTGTCACATTTTATACTACAGTTATGTGTGTTGTTATTATTTTCCTCTGGGCAATAAATCGAACTTAGGGTAGGCTTCAGTAGGTCATCGTTAATCTAATCTATTGTCTGCTGTATATTTTACCAAGTGTCAAAATGTTCCATAAAGTTCTGTCCTCTCCTCACACTATTTGTAGCATTTCATCCTCAAAGAAACGCTCATTACGTCGGTCTCTGCTCGAGTTTACCTTGGGAGACTAACTCGGACATAAAGTAACTCAGGGTTTTCCTCAGAGTAGTATATGCTTGATCCACCTCCACTTCATATTTAACGTTAGTTAGAAAACAGCTTCTTGGTTGACTTGTCGCTATGGATCCTTGTTGATAATCCCTTCCTATGAGTCATCTGATCTTCACTAGAGCCTGGAGGCAGCTGTTAATAAATTTCTGAAGCCTGTTGGAAGTAATAATAATAATTTGCCTTATTCCAAAACAGTACTTGTGATACAGAATGGAATTCCCAGCATTTTACTGCAGTATTGCATACAGTTAGTACATTAACAATAAATAAATTTCTACAAAGATTAAGGTTAATCTCGGTTAGTTTTCACAACAACATATTAGCATGTCGGTAGCAAAACCACAATTAATTAGAGTGTTCGAAGGTGTAAGAAAAGTAAATGCTAGCATATTTACTGGTGTAAGCGGTAACAAAATGGTTCGAGATATACAGAGTGTGAAAGAACGAAGAGGAATGTTTATAATAGACTTTGTAAAGAAGAGAGAAAAAAGCAGCACGAAACAAAAAATAGAAAAGGATAGGAAGGAAAGAAAACGTTGTACCTGTAAATGATATGTGTTGGAAAGACGAGATCCAGTTGTTCTACTGACTATGTAATAAGTTATAGGTATCATGCCTAATGCTTTCTTTATCGCACGGAACACGGGCTAAGTAGGGTATAGTTGAGTTTTGTATTTGCTGGTGCGAGCATATAGTTTTCTTTGCAGGCTTCTGGTTTTGCCTGAAGAGATACAAGGCGAGAGTTGTGAGTGAAGAGGGTTGTGTGTTTTGGATAAAATGGATTGGTTTAGCCCACTTTTCAAATCAGTCCAAATGTCTGAGAATCTGGTTAAGTGGCACTTTTTTTACCCTGGTAACAACCTTTTAACATTCTTCGTAATAAGATATAGTCCTTCTTTAGTAGCCCTGGAAAATCTAACGAGGAACATTAGAGAATAATAGGCAGAATGCGAGAGTTGACGAATTGTAGGAGTAAGGGTTGGGTTATACCAGAATTTCTTAACTTCTTGATGTAGAAGATGAGACGGAATATTTTCTTAGAAATAATCAAGATTTGAGACGACCAGGAAAGATCAGCAGATAGAATGACGCCTAGGTATTTAATTTCCAACTTGGTCTCTATTTCAGTGCCATCTATGTTGCACATCTCGTGAGTCCTAACCAGTTTGTTTATGCCTACAGCTGAAGTTGGCTGTTTGACATTTAGAGGGATTTAAGGTTAGACAGTTTTCCTTGAACCAATGGTTGATTTCTGATAAAAAGCCATTAAGTTTGGAGCAGTCACTTTGACATTTGACAGGCAAAGATACAGTCAGGTCCAGAGCATATTTACCAAAGTTGATGTCATTTGAAGATGGCAAATCATGTAGAAAGAAAGAAAAAAAAAGTGGGGAGAGTGCATCACCTTGGGGGACACCAGCTTCAGTGAGCGCAGCAGACGAGGATTTACCTTTGTACACAGTCGACTGCATTCTGTTTGAGAAGTAGGAATGCAAGCAGTTAGTGACCCAGGACTCAGATTGTGTGATCTTGTGAAATTCACGCCACGTCTCTCAAACATGTTGAATCACTTAGTTATTTATTTCACAATAGGAAGGTGTTTCTTGCTTTCCCGATTTTTGTAGGTTTTGTCATCCCAATCTAGTTGGAGCCATCCTGCCTCTGTAGCTGAAAGTGGTTAATTCCTTCAGATCATTACCGCTACTAATGACTGACGCTGATTGCTGTCGGTTTGTTTAATTTGGTTAGGCGTTTCCTATCAGTATACAAAGTAATTTCACTGCACACTTAATCAAAAGACTGTAGTAAACACACTCAGAATGAAGCAAATACGTCTAATCATCAATCAATGAACAATTCGAATCCTCACATATTTCAATAGGGAATAAAATAGTTAACACTTCCACTAGACGAATTCAAATGGAGTTAAGCATCTTCATCATCTAAAGCAGCGTAATTCGGAGTGCACATCAGATGATAATAACAATAATAACGGTAATGCAAACTGTTGATAAATTTTCAAGTATTGATTTTGTAGGTATTTTGTTTGATTGTATGGAGGATTTCATCATGAGCTAACATCAGTTAGAGAACCACTATAAATGGTTCAAGAACCATTGGATAGTGTCCCAGTGGCTCATTGGTCTACGAGCCCACCTTGTAACCAGAAGGTCCTGAGTTCGAACAACGATGGGTGCGTACTGATGAAGAGTCCCAAACTAGACTGACGAAACCGCTGTCCAGTACTCCCAGGTTTTCCAGTGGTTCTCTAACTGACGTTGACAAATTCAATGACTTATGGCCCACTCGTGGTGAAATTCAGCCACCAACATAAACAAGAAATCAAATCAAACTGAGATGAATATTTTCTAACTTGTAAGTAAGCCGATTTCTTTGCATAATTCGCAGATCACCTACTTTGATTTCTTACATGTCCAACAGGTCGCCCTATTTTTGGGTCAGATAACATTTGGCCTACCTGATTTCAGACTATTTGGTTCAGATTACTGTTTGGCTGCAATGATTGCACATGCTGGTCTTATCATCTTTCTGATCACACTCAGTATTGCACTGAAGTGCCCAAAGAGAACTTCAGGTGTTCCTGAACCAACTGCTTGCTTTTTCAATACACATACTAAACTGTGAAAATTTGTGCATTTTATACCTGTCTTTAACCACTTTTAATATCGTTATGTTCATATCGAAATTTCCAGTTAATTCATTAATAATTAATATACGGAGCCATTAAATAATAACAAATACTTCTGAAATATTACTCTTATATCGCAAATGAACACTGAATTCCATATCTTCACATTCATAAATGTCAACCACACAGGATTAGCCTGGTCCATTTGCAAGGAGGTATGGTTTACGATGAACGAAAATATTAAGACAAAAATTTTACTGATGACGTGCTTATAAAAGTGAGTAAACTCTGTTTATTTTGAATACCGACTAACTTTTCCACTTAGTAGATTTCAGAAATGTCTGATGAATGTCTCACAGCAGTTTACTTAAATGTCTTTGATTTAAATGTGACATGAAGTGTTATTGAGGATTAACATCAAACGTTAAGTGATGACAGGAGGCTGTGTCTGGTGTAGTTTTAGCACAAAATACAATAGATGATACAAGTAGTTCCTAATGCCCTTACTCAATGTCAACTGGAACGATGAAAACCATATTGATGTATTCCAGTGTTTAGTCATTACTATCGTCTCGAATCACTGGTTGACTTGATCGTTTTTTTTCAAATTACTCAAACTAGCAGATGTATTCAACAGACCCTGAAAATTTAAAAGTGTAAACACAGTGTGAATGCAACCACTACATGACTTCAATCCTTGAGAATCATTATTCTCGAGAATAAAAGCAGAAATATCTTAGAATACGTAATGGTTGCTGTGTCTGCGTTAATTACTTTAGTTAATTAGTAGACTACTTGCCATCCTGGGTTCAATGTCAAGTCGACAGATTCCTAACCTCACTTACCTAATATTAAGTTCAGCAAGCAGTGAAGATCAGGCATGAAGCTGACAACCGATACCGTAGAAATAAGACCAGTGCTACTGAATCTTCAAGATTGACGCCTTAGATTCTGTTCGGAACGCAAAATGAATGAAATAAAATAAACAAGATAATGGTCCACTTCAAATTCCTTCTCACTTAGTCGAATCAATTAGACATTATAGTGAACAATGCTCTTTTCAGTGTTTATTTGTAGGGACTTGGTCGGTTACAAGATTTCATCATGAGCTGACATTGTTTAGAGAATCATTGGGGAACCTGTGAGTACTGGACAGCTTTCTCATCCTAGTTTGGGACACTTCAGCAGTACTCACCCACCGGGGTTCAAACCCAGGACCTTCTGGTTCTAGTGAGAAACCATGGCCAATAGAGTGCAGCAGGTCGGGTGTGAGGACAAATACTCGCCAAAGACATTGGCTAGGGGTCGCGCTATGTCATAAATTGGCAGAAGCTAGAATTCATGGGGCATTGGATCAGGTCGCAGTGGCTTAATGGTCTACGAGCTCACTTTGTAACCAGAAGGCCCTGGGTTCGAACCCTGGTGGTGCGTGCGTACCCCTGTCTAGTACTCCCAGGTTTTCCAATGGTTCTCTAACACATGTCAGCTCATGATGAAATTCCATAGTGCTCTTTTCATTTTGATCGTTCTCTGGCTACACTGTAGCATGCGTAGATGTGAAACTGAATTAACGCCAATGATTCGCAAGTCAATGAATGGTTGGTTC